ATAATGCAAAGGGGATAACTAAAAAATAATTGCCTTTGAGTGATACCATTTCTGCTATTATTCAAAATGCAAAGGCCACTTAAATTAGGACCACTTTTAATTAAAATTTCAGAGAACTAACCACAAAACTCTGAGAGAGAAAAGTCCATTTTGATAGCTTAGCGTCTTTTCAGATCCTAAACTAAGTAAAATCTACAACTAGGTTTCCAGTTAATTAAGTTATATTCAATATATTGTTCTGAATCTATTTCTTCTGGAACATTCCACCCTTATTTTTAAGACAAATGTAGAACAGTTTACCTGGATATCCCAAAGCTCTCCAGTATTTTGATATAAGCAGAAAAACTGGCTCCCTCAATGTGACAATCCACGGGTGTAACAACTTAACAGCATGGTCTATTTGCTAAAGAGGAGTTCTGCTTCTCACAGAGGAGTTCTTGCCTCTCACAAGATACACTTGTGGGTTTCATTATCATGAACAGTAACTGCTCTCCACAGGATATTAGGCAAGAAGTGCTGGAGGAAAAGGGAACTAAAGTGTGTTCAGACTGGCTGGCTGCTTCCATCAGCAGTAAGCACCATGTGATATCCAGAAGTATTGCATATACCCCATGTTGCGTAGCCCTGTGAGGCTGCCTCGGCCCACAAAAGCCTGAGCCTTTACAGAATAGCTGCTAATGAAATGTGTGTGGAAATTACAGGCATAAAGGGTGGACTGGCCACAGGTCCAGTGCCTGCTACCACTGAGAACCCTGCATACATGGCCTACTCTCAGGCAGCTAGCATGTTCCTCATGTTTGCCTGTGAGATCTTGAGATTCTGCGGGCTAGTTTTTAAAAACTTCTGTTATGTGGAGATATTTAAAAAAAACCAACAAAACTATGATCATACATTTCTTCTGTCATTCCTCCTGTGTGTTTGAGTTTGAAGGATGATATAGGATAAGAAAGTCAATAATGAGTAAATAAGCTTCATAAAAAATTCTAAATTTTTGTTTGTGCTGAAGATAAAACCGGAAGGGTGGAGCCCTCTACAAAACACAGCTCAGTCAGTTTGCTAGAGCAGTGCATGGGGAGGAGATTGCAGAAGAAAAGCTGTGTATCTTTGAGCTTAATTAAAAGATAACTGAATCTTGCTTATGGTCTACTACTCTCCTTCTGCACAAAGTTCTTAGGATTTTTTAAAATATTTTGGGATGTTAAAGCATTGAAAGTGCTTGGCATTTCTAGCTTAATTTTACAAAAACTTGTAGCTTAGCTACTTCAAAAGTTTGTTAGGGTGCTGGATAGATCTTATTTGAATTAGAAACGCTGCCCGCCAATGATAACTGATTATTTTGTAATATAGGCATAATGTTTTTTTGTAGTGGGAGAAATGCAATTCTTTATGCTATTCATTCAGCTAAACACTGTATTTTATTTATAAAATAGCATTTATTTGTGAAAATAAACAAATCATCACAGATGATAATGCATTTATTATTAATACTGTGGCAGATTAGAATTGCTGTTGTATGTGGCAGCCTTCATGACTGAAGATGCTAACTGTAGCAATACAGTCATTTCGTGTGGGTAAACACCACTGCAAGGGTCTGCTCACAGTATCAGCTCTAGATAAATCATGCAATGATCAAAGAACTAGCTCATATTCACAGCTCTGAATGCTAGACAGTTCCTGTTGTCTTCTCTTTCATCCAATACACACGAATAAGTACATCCCTAATTGATAGAATGCTGATGAGTATATAAATTGCAACAAACACAATGAAAATAAGTTTACTCTGTGAAATTTCAGTGAAACTTGCCACATATCCACCATGTGCCTCATTTTACATTTGCAGGTGCAATAGCTTCCTGAAATTTCTCTGTTTTTTTCTCGCTTATTTCTGTGAAGGTTGTTTGTCAGTGATATAGGGAAATTATATATTTTTAAGTGAAGAGAGAATCGGAATAAATTAATATTTTAAGGAACAGGATCTGCAAGCCTGAAAGCAGTGTAAAGTTATGTTGCTTTTTTCACTTTTCACAGAAACAACACCAGCAGCAGCAACAAAATCACTAGTTCATATTCAAGCAAGATAAGGATAATACTTTCTCGTGTATACATATACAATATATGCCGTTATATTCTCTGTACAGACTAAACCCTGCATCTAAATTCCTGCACACAAGTAGTGTGTTACTGCTCCTGTGTGGATATGTTACAACTGCAACCTTAAGCACATTTTTTTCTTATCAGAATATTTATTTAGATGTTCCCATGTAACTTTGGGAAAAGTGGATACTTAGGAATTAAGTTTATCAAAAATTAAGGAAAGAAGAAATGGAACAAAAAGAATCAGAACCTTTGCCATTCAGGAAGAGTGTGGCCATCAAGCAGGCCAAGGGAGGTAATCCTCCCCCTCTACCTGGCTCTGGTGAGGCCATATCTGGAGTGCTGCACCCAGTTCTGGGCTACTCAGTACAAGAAAAAAATGGAGATACTGGAGAGGTATCAGAAAAGATCAGAAAGACAATTTAGGATCTGGAGCATCACTTTTATGGAGAGAGACTGTGGGAGCTGGGTGTGTTTAGTCTGGAGAAGAAAAAACTAAGAGGGGATCTTATTAACACATAAAAATATCTCAGAGGTGGGTGCCCAGATGATGGTGCCAGGCTCTTTGCAGTGGTATGCAGACAGATGACAAGGAGCAATGTCCACAAAGTAAAACACATGAAGTCCACCTCAACATCAGTAAGAACTTCTTTCAATTGAGGGTGGCAGAGCACTGCCCAGGGCAGTCATGGAGTCTCCCTCTCTGGAGATATGCAAAACCCAAATGGACACGCTCCTGTAACCTCATCAGGAGGGTTGGACTGGTATCTCCAGAGTTCCCTTCCAGCCCTAATGATTCTGTGATTGTGTGAGTCTCTGCTGTAAATGCTAGTCTATCTTTTTAAGATATCTTTTCTTTCATCTACTTTCATCTACTTTTTTTCATCTACTGATGTTCTTTGCTCCAAAATTATTTGAAAAGTCAGACACTTCCATCTGAACCCCTCTTATTTTCCAGTTCAGTGTTCACAAAGATAGCAAAGATAGTTAAGATTTTGTTACCTCAACAGCTGTGTTAATACTATTGTTTGAGTTGCTGTAAACTGAAGGGACATGATACAAAAAAAATTCTTTATCTTTTGACATTGTTTTTAACCTACTTCATTTCACTAACTGTAACTGTATTATATGATCCCAAATAAGGAGAGAGTGAAAAACAGCTAATCATGAGGGAGGGTGGCAGAAGGAAAACACAAAGATGACTGGCTGGGGCAGCTAATCTTTAAACCATGTATATATAGGGGAAGACAGGGTTGGGGGGTAGTATGTGGGAGAACACCTTTGGACAGGTGCATTAATACCATGAAAGCAGTTTGAAATCTCTTTCCTAAATCAGGATAGTGTTGCTCTGTTATATATAACACATTCAAATATGCACAGAGCAAGAGAAAGTCAATGTTAGCAGCATTTTTCACTGAAATTTTGCTTCCTGCCTTCTCCTCTCTCTCACAGGAGAAACTTTTGCCTCCTGTTGTTACTGAACAGGTAATGTTTCTGTAGAAAGTAGTCTATGCAGCAGTGAGGGAGATGTTGGAAAATTCTTTTAACTTTAGCACATTAGTGTATGATTCCTGTATTCATGGTTAATGCTTACTTTTGTACCATACAGTGCTTAGTACAAATACCAGAGATTAATGTGGCCTTGTGTTAACTCCCTACATCTGTGACTAATAAGTCTTGTGCCAACTAATGCTTCCTTGTTTACTTCTATCAGTGATTAATATGTACTAGCTGATATCTTAGTTTTGAGAACAAGGATTGTGTGTCAGAGGTAAGAATGATAAGAGCAGTACATTATAACTTGACACTCTCAAGGAGAAAAGTTTCATCAGAAGATCTGCAACTGTATCCAAACAAGTAAATTGAAATAATTAGTATATTTACATGTATTCAGGAAATGTGATGAATGTGTATTTGTTTCAGGAATATAATGCAGTCTGTTAGGTTACTGAACATGTATGTTTTAAGGAGAAATCCCCATGCACCCAGTGTTGTCAATAAAGTGATATTTTTCTTAACTAACAAGTTGGTTGGAGAGTTTATTTCTCAGTTTTCAATGACTTGGGGGCGGACTTGCAGAGGACCAGAAATAATATATTTATCAATTATCTCTGTAAAGAGTTGTAGTGAAAGTTTCAGACTACCTAGTTTTGTGCTGCTTCTGGAGTAACATTTTGAGTACACGAACCTCATCAGAAGGCAAGGCAAAGAGTCAGCAGTCCTGCTTCACAATGCTGTGCCAGAGTGTCAGAGTTCTGGGGTGAAGTGCCATCTTTCCATGGCAGTAATCCTGTTACAGCATCACTTTGGAAATTACTTAATTTTCAGAACAAACTTAATATTCCTAAACACTAGCAGAAGTTGCTGCCTGCAATTTCTGCAGCGCACTGTGAGAACCAGCATTTTTGGTAGGGTCAGTCTGTGTTATCTTTGTGTCTACAGACAGTGCTAGACTTCCTCAAAAACGTGCTGCGGCATTTCCAACATGTTTTTATTTGAAGGCAGTTTTAGTATTTCTGACAGAAGTTTGGTTATGAGCAAATTAAAGCTTTTCCTTGTGTCAACATGCACTGTCATGCTTATGGGAACAATTTGGCTTTCCAGATCCTGTTTGGGGTCTACTGACATGCAGCATACCCTGGAAGCTCCTCAACTCACTGCTGTGGCTCTTTTAAATTGCTGTTATTCAATACCCATAATCTTATAATCATTGTCTATTATTAATATATTTATACTTGCCTGAACAAGGAGTGCAGAACTACTTATATTTTTCTGTACTTGAGACAGGCAAGACAGACAAAGTCAAGAAAAAAGTCAAAGGACACTAGCAGTGTCTTTGCCCTGGCTATGCCTCGTGGGGGGGCACATTTCTGCCTCTCAAAGGAGACACCCAGCACACTTCAGGGCATCACAATCAAGTGTGTATTAAGATCCTGGTTTTCTACTGGGGTGTATGTACTGTAATTAATCACAGTCCTTGCTGGGGACAACTGAAGCTAATGCAAACCACTTGCTGTACAAAAAAGAATATTTCATGCAAAAAGCCAAAAGTGTCTCCTTTTTGTGACTTGAGGAGCCCTCAAATCTCAAGCAATTTTTATTTCAACACAAAGCTCATATTCAGGCATTAGCTGTCATGTTTGACCAACAGATACACTGCCCTGCAGCCCCTTCCCTGCCTGTCCTGCACTGACCCCCAGTGCCCCCGGCCATGTCACAGGCTTCTCCCTGTCCCTTTTGCTGCCCGGCTCAGACACCCGGGGGGCTCAGATGAGGTGGGTTTTGAATAAGCCTTTTTCCCCTGCAAGCTGTGTGGGTTCTGCTCACGTCGGCACTGCTGTGCTCTGTCTGCCCGAGTTCAGCAGCAGGAGCTCAGGGGGAAACTGAAAGCAGGGCCGCAGCAGAAAACACTCCAGACAGACCAAATGGGAAGAGCAGGCTTTTGCAGAACCTTCCGCAGGGAAACCCTCGGGAAAGCAGAGTTCACTATGAGGTGAAGAGCCCTGATGGATGCAGGCAGAGCCCTGTGAAACAAGGGCTGAGGGGGCTCACAGAGTGTGCCACAGCACCAGTGCCCCTCGCACCCCACAGCTCTGCTTCACTGAGGGCACGGATCACCAGGCATAGCTTGGTTAAACGATTTAATGAATTAATTGCAGGTGATCTGAGTGTAGCTGTGATGGCTAAGTTTGTAGCTACCAACTCCTCGTCTGAGGCAAGGGGAATGTGGGGAGGACCTGGTGAACATCGGGGTAAGGAAAGCCAGCCGCTCAGACCCTGCCAGGCAAGCAGACTCGCTGGCTAGGAAGGTGCTAGAAGCACTCTGAGAGGCAATCAGAACGGTTGGGGTGAGAGGGAGGATGGAGGAGCAAGGCAGAGCTACTGGGAGCTGCACACGAGCAGTTTGTGTCGGGGAAAGGAAAGGAGCTCTGGCAGCTGAGGAGGGTCTGCCCTGCTGATATTTTTCTCTCTCGCCCCCCTCTTCCGTGCCCTTCAGGAATGGCTGTGCCCTGCCTTCCCGCACCGAGCCCCGACTCTGTGCCTCCCTGCCCGGGCTCAGGGTGTCGCGGAGGGACGCGGGGCTGGATGGAGCCGGTGCAGGCCTGAGGGCGCTGAGGCGGCCATCGCTGCGGCTGCGCCGGGGACACGAGAAGCGAGGGAGCCCGAGCTGCGGAAAGCATACTCTGGGACGTCAGAGAGGAAGGGAAACTTTCTCAAGGAAGAAGTTGCTTCAGTTTCTACCCTGTGTACCCTCATGTGAATGGCTAGGCAAGGGGTTATCAGCTGGTCTGGCTTCCCCTTCAGCATCCCCCCCAGCTGCTGATACCAGGGGGAAGTGGGAGAGAAACAGGGACAGCTTTACCAAAACACTCCTGACTTCCCTTCCTCTTCAACATGTCCCTCCCTGTCTCCGCCTGGGAAACAAAAAGGTGTGCAAAAAAACCCATGCAAATACCTCACCAGGAGTTGTGTAAATCCTGTGGGAGGGAGACAGGGACACTCCATGCTTTCATAGTCATATTTAACAACCTCTTTTCCTGCCGTCTCATATATTAAACGCGCATCAGCTCTTCAAGCTTCACCTGTTTTTAGTGCAGAGGAGAAAAACAGAAGCACGTATTTCCTAAAAAGCATGCAAGCTTCAGGCAAGGTCCTGTTCTGAGGTGTTTGGATTTCTGCACAACCTTAATGTGGCAGAGAGGACTTGCAGCTGACAGCTGTGCCTCTTCAGGTAGGTATGGCCTAGCTCAGGTATCTTAGGCTTTCTTTGGGAAATGGGTAATAAAAGGCCTTTACCCTTCATGGTAATCTCCTTAAACCTCTGAATAAAAGGTTTCAGATGAGAGTAATTTAGTCTCTGCTAATGTCAGACGATTTCTTAACAACAGCTCTTAAGTCTTTTAATTTAAAAATGTGAATCAGACCGACATTTTTTAGTCATTCCCCAATTCATATTAGAGGGGTCATGCTCCTTTTGCTTTTAAAGTATATTTGCTTAAAAACCCAAACAAAATCTCCTAGATTTTCATGGTCAGTCTCAATTAGTCAAACAAACCCTAGTAAAGTTTAGAAGTTTAGAAAAAAGTGAGAAAAAATAATGAATGCAGATCTACTCCTTTCTGTACTTTATGTGCTCTCAAGAAGTTACCTGTCACAAGCGGGGCTAAATTTGAACACATATGAAATAGAAGGTTAAGGCTCAAGTTAAATTCTTTGTTGCCAGGAATCTTTCACCACTCTGCTTCTGTATCCTTTCCCAGAGCTTCTGTTATAAATTGGTCTTTATTAGAGCTACATCTAATACTTGAGTCTTCTCTCCTGGGCTGAAATTTTATTTTTTTAGTTATCATGCATGCTATATTGCAATTATTTTTATATTCCAAAGCAAGAAGGGGAAAAGGGAAAGCTTAAAAAAAAGGAGACAATGATGTGACCTAAATAGAAACTACAAAGAGAATGCTCCCATATCATAAACATTTCAGAATACAAAGTAACTTCAGAAATAGTTTTAATCAAAGGCAATAAAATTTGAAAATGAAAACACAGTTTAATCCAAACATCTTTAAAAATAATGTTTCCAGAAAAACTTCCTATGTCATTCTGCTTAGTATTTGCTTAATGCCTGATATCCTTTCTATATCCCTATCCTTTAGGCTTTTAAAAAACTTTGACTCTCCCTAATCTATTATCTTTAGCAGGTAGTCGCAGATTGGTCATAAAGCCTTCCGGCTTTAAAGTAACTGGTTAGCCTGTGATGTAAATCCATAAACAAAAGAAAGAGAGAAGTTAGTTTAGGTGAAAATTCATTCACCTGTGCCTCTGGCAATCACAACAGAAAACCAGGATCAGTTTTCCATCTGCTAAGAGTCCTTTTGGTAAAGTCAGAGAGGGTACATAAGCCATATATTCTTAAGCCTTGCTGGTATACTAAGAGTTTCTTTTAAAAAGAACATTACTTTTTTCCTGTCCTCCTCTCATGTCTTTTTCCAAGACTTTCCTCTCTTCTACTAACCTCACTTTTCCCCTTTTTATCTGGTATTTGGAATGTGCTGCCTGGAAAACGAGAGGTAAGTGAACCTCATCCATCATACACCTGCCCTGCGATCACATGGGTCTCACCTTTCAGCCATGCACAGAAGAGAACCCTTTCATACAGCGCTCTCTGTATAAATATCAGGTGCCTCTTTTTAATGTGGTGCTTTTCCCGGGTGCTGGCACAACAGTGACCTCTCATGGAGGAGCCTCTCCTGTTAAAAATCATAACCTTCCATAATCATTTAAGTAGGAGGGGAACAAGGGTGGAAAATCTGCTGACCCTCTAAATTGTACCAACTTTTGATTTCCATCATGGTTAAAAAAAAACAAAAAACCCCAAAACTCTCAGAACTTGTTTTCTGGACTATTTTTGTGTTGCCAATGCCTTTTCCCTCTCCATTGCCTCTTACTCTGTCTGTGTGCATCTCTGAAATGAGTATGACTTCCATCAGACATTTGAAAACAGCAATGAAGTCTCTGCTTTGCCTGCTTCTCTTAGCTTCTTGTCTGACATGTGTCCTAGTTCCCTGGTCACCTACTGTGAGTACAGGGAATTGAGCTGCTTCTGTTTTGTTTGCTCAGTGCCTGCCTGCTGCCTTGCCTAAGTGGCAGAGAAGATATGGCTGCTTTCTTAACTTTAAGCATGCAAATTTAGTTACTTACCAAGTCTTTTATTTTACACCGTCACAGGTACTTGAATCTGCTGTTTACACAATTTGTGTGAATGAGAAAGGGAAATTCAGCACTGTCTCTTTCAGTTTTGCTGCTGCCTCAGAGAAGTTACAAGCCATGACCGATGAGGCAGCATATACCAGCTTTTTTGCTGCAGATGCTAAATTGTATGGAGAAAAAAAAAATTAAAAAAAAAAAAATTTTTTTGTTATTCCAGATCACACTGCCAACCTTTTGCTGAGCACAAGCTGTACTGAAAGGCAAGGTGAGTCTGCTGAAGTCTCATCAAAGTCTGTGCCATTGGGTAGATCATCAGTTGAATAGAATATTTTTATTGTGAAGCATAGAACAGCTGCTGACTGGGACGAAGAGCAGCAGGAAGCAGTAATGCAGCAGTGGTCAGCCTGGGGAGGACCATACTGTTCATTCTTGTGAGCTATTGCATAAATTTGAGTCTGCACCACTTCTCTTATGGGATGATGAAAAGAGATTTGATAAAAATCTCCTGTCATGTGAGAAAAATACTTGAATCCCTGGAAACTTAGGTATGTAATAATGAATTAAAGACTGAGATCCAAAAGAGAATAAAATAAAACCACAGAAATCATAGAAACAGAACTTCTGCGGAATAAACACTTGAAGATACAAAAGGGATTGACAAATGGATTTTGAAGAGTTAAAAAAATTACGAAGAGATGGAGAAGATCAATGGTTGTACATAAGTTGATGTTTTGAGAGCCTTTTTAGAAGAGAAATAAGTGAGAGCCTGGAGACATGATTTCTGAAAGTTTTTCTTCTCCAAACACGTAAGAAAACAAGTCTCCCTGTGACTCACCTTCCGAATCAAAATGCAGATGCCCTCAGGGGTTTAGAGAAGAATTGTGGTATTGTAGAGGTTTCGAAGCTTCACTAAAACTTAGTTAAACAAGTGACTAATGGGAAGAAAAGCTGTTAGAGATGCGTCAGCAGAAGTGAAAGGAACACCCAGCTATAGCTGCAAATACAAGATGCTCAAGATCCTCTGATCCCTATTTCATCCTATGAAAATGTAAACTCTCTAAAATTGTAAAATCATTTTGCCTATAATTGTTGATTGAATTTGGCAAATTTATTGCATGTTCCATTTTTAAATGTGTAATAAATGCTTTTCAATATCTTCAAGTGAGGCTATTGCAAGTTAGAGAGACCATTGTTCACAGTTTCAGTACTGGAACATTGATGTGGCTTTGTTTTTGTACATTTCTGTGTAATTTTTCATTTCTTATTTTTCTGTGTACTTCACCTTTTACATAGAGGAATATGGCTGAAGGCAGGTGCACCTTTTGTTAATTTCATATTTTTCTTGTAAAGAATCCTGAATTCTGCTGAAGAACTGCTTTTATTCTGTTTTAGTTTTTTTTTTTTCCTTAACTATGATAAAACACAGTATGAATGGTTTGCAAAAAAAAAAAAAAAAAAAAAAAAAATTAAACAGATGACTCCCTGTTGAAATGAACTCACAAATCCCAGCAGATTCTTAATCCTGAATGTTGATTTACTGATAAACACTAAAACTGCTCCTGTAACAAAAAATTGAAAAATGCACCTTTAAATATCCTTGTGTTATCTACATTATTCTATCTGGAGATGTTAACAATGTCACATGATATATATTATATCAGTTTCATATTTACATTTGTTTATGTGGATGATTCATCTTTGCCTAATTTACATACCTAACACATTTTCCTGTATTAGCTTCCCCCCCCACCCCTCAATATGAAAAACTTTAACAAATAAAGATCATATGAAGTGTTTTGCATTCTAGAGGTCTCTGCAAATACGTTTTTTGTCCAAGTTGCAAAGTACAGGGGTGGGGAAGGTGGCAACTCCTTCAACCTCTCTTAAATAGGCTGAAATATTGCATGGTTGTAGTGTGAACCGTCTGGTGGATGCAGTGGAAGTCCTGGCTTGCCAATGGTTTTCCTTAGCAATATGACGAGGCTCTGAAGCTGTCTCCAGGACGCTAGAGGATAACTAGGATGCTGGTATTTGTGAGACTCTGAGTGCAGCTTGTCCCTCTCTGCCAACAGAGGGCATTATACATGCACAGAGCGGAGCTGTCCTTGTGTGCTGCAGGCAATCCACCTGCTTGCCTGTCTGTACAATTTTCTTACTGTCTTAAACAGTGAGAAAAAAAAAAGTATTTTTGGATTTAATTGGGGCAGATACTAGTTTATAGCATTTTTTAAAGTAGCACAAATATCAGGGGGAAAAAAAATTACCTCTCAGTGTTTCTCTACTTCTTATCCTCCTGTTCAGGTTGACAGACAGAAAACCCATGCATGTTTAACAAGAACAGTAGCCACCTGAACAATTTATTGTTCTTAGACCTGAGAGCTGTATTTTGCACAAGTCAGTTTCAAAAGTCTGGTGAGTTCCCAGTTATGCAGGAATGCAGAAGATCTGCTGGTCTTCTGTGGCTGTCAGAAGTCCAAGGATTTCAATGATTTTTGTAGGCGGATAGAAGTCCCTTCACACAAAGTTCCTTAGGAGGTGTTCCTTCTGAATATGGTAAGACATTCAGCCCATTTTATAACCAACATATAGTTGTATGTATAATAAAATGTATTTCTGTTCAGAATCTGTAGGATTTATTTTTTCTTTAAACAAAGAGTAAATCCAAGTAGATCAATCTACTTGATCAATCTACAAGTTCCTTGGCTGGCCTTAATTCCATCAGATTTATTAATAAATTCACATATTTTGAAAGTTTTTTTCCTTCTTAGAGTATATCTGAGAATCACTGCAAAAAGACAGACATGTTTAGGGGTATTTTTCTAGGTCAGGAATCAGTGCAGCCTGTCCTGGCTTGAAATCAAAGGAAAATGCAACTTTTTTCCTTTGTGTTAATAAGCTTCTATCTTGCCTGTCTGAAGCTATTATTGCTGTTCTGGTATTTTTTAATCTGATATTCTATCGAAGTGTTTTGATCTAAACTTTCCTCTGTGGTGATGGTCAGAAATGAAATAGTGAATTTTATGTTTTAGTCCTCATTTGGATTTCAGTATTCTGCAGACCTAACTCTCTTTCCTACATCTCCTCCTGTATGCACTAAAACCAGATTATAACCAATCTCATGTTCAAAAGGTTCATTGGCAGGTTTTTTTTTGGTAAGAATACATTTTTTTCCATAAGTTTGTTTTCTGGTGTAATACTGCCACAAATCAAACTTTCCTGGAGTGCTCCTCACTCCACTTTATTTTGTTACTTTTTTTGCTCACCTTCTAATTTTTTCTTCTGTCTTCTCATATTGCTGTAATATAAATTTCCACCTGCACAGCATCAAAATAAAGACCAAAAAATGTAATTTCCTTCCCTGGAGAAGCTTTTGGGTTGCCTGTGATGCAAAGATAAAAGCACTTCCTTCCCCATAGTTTTATATAGCATTGTCAAGAAAATAGACTAAAGGAATAAATTCATGCATTCGTTTGCATTACTTTGAATTGTCATGCATATTTGAATTCAGGGAAAACAACCTGGAAATTTGAAAAGATTTAATAAAAATAATGAAACTGTAAATTTTTGCTTATTTTCAAACTGTATTTGGCAACTGCAGAAGTTCAGTGATCAACACATCCACATGCATGTTGTTTCTAAACAAACCAGTTTGTGAAAGCAGCTAGACATTTGACTCATGCCAGCAAGAGTAACTGCACTTGCTGTTCAAATTTTAATGTAGGATTTTGTAAATGTAAAGATCCCATACATATCTCATCTGGTACAAATTAAAGAATCTCTGAGGCAGCTAGAAATCAGCAAGTAACAGCACAGCAAGATCCTTCTTTGGTAGTCTTTACTCAGATCCTTTATCTGAGTTTATCCATATGTAAAGCTAGAGTAAGTCAAGTGACTTGAATTATTGGTGCAAGAAAATGTATTTTGATCTTTAGTACTTGATTCTACACAGTGGGATTACAATAGAAATAAACAAAGTAAAAATACCTCATTTATATTTTAAAACCAATAAATATTCCTTACATAAACACTTCCCTTAGGTTTCAGCAAGATTTTGATCATAGTGTAAAGCAGAGACAAATTCAGCTAGAACCCTCAGAACTTTGTGAAGCGTTCTTAAGTGAGAACCACATTCTTTATTCAATCTATTTCACATTACTATTTTTCAAGTGGAACTTCCAGTGAGCAACATTTTTCACCTCTAAGTATCACAAGGCACCTTTTTAGCTTTTGAAATAGGATTGACAGCCTCAAGTAAATACCTGTTTAGTAGTACCACATTCAGGGAGGATGATTGTTTGGATATAGGTACCATGATAAATGTATACAAGCTACTCCAGGAGCTCCAAATTATTTTAAAGAGCAAAGATGGCTTGAAAAGTTATGCAGATTTCTTACTTTTCAACAGTTATCGGTAAAATCACTAATATTGAAGCTATCAGTTTGATTTATAAATAAAATATTTATAAAAAGATACATATACAGAGTTTAAAGAAACTGACTTTTTAAGGAAAAAAAATCTATTGGTTTGCTAAGCACACAACACCCCACCACATTCCTCATTCAACTATACTGAAAATATACAGATATATAGATAACTTCCCTTATATTTTTAGTTAAAAGGTCCTGCTGAATCAAAATTAGATGGTAGAATTGTTATTTTAAAATCTAGTTAGACGGTGTGAACCCTTCCGATTTCTTGGTTTGTGTCACATTGACACTTGACTGCAGAATTCCTCAGGATACACAAAGTAATTTTTTAGTTTGGCCTTGAAAGAAGTTGTTTTCCTTAATTTTGAATGCCAAAAACAGTAAATCATGTACAAACCAGTTCAGATGATGAAGGACATAAAAAAAAAGAAAAAGTTTCCTCATACCCTCAAAAGAAGAAAGACAGATTCAAGGATTTGAAAACTGTTAGAACTGAATTTAAAGCTTTACAGTCTCAGCCATAGGGGTTTTAGTGGTAATGCATCTATGTAGTAAAAAGTAAATGAATGAAGTCCTGTTCTTACCATAATTTCAGTTTTTCTGTCTCCATGAGTCTGCTAAGGAGTATGCACTGTACTAGAGTGAGTAAAAGATGTTCTTTGTCCTTCACTGTGAATGTTTTTTTAAAAGAGTGTATGTTGTCTATCCAGCCTACACAGCAAAACATATCAGTAATATTCTTGTTTTGCACATTATCAGAGACCTAACAGAATCTTAACCAGTATTTGTTTGGGTTATGTTTCACCACTGTGAAGTATGAATAGATTTTATTCATTCGCTTAATTACTTCAAGATTTTCATGAAAACTGTCTATGCTGGTAATAACAATATATAGCTATTTTTTATGTAATCTTTGACTGAATTAAAAAGGCAAATGTATTTTGGTTTTGTTTTTCATACTCAGGGTTCCTGAATTTAGACATACATATATTACATGTATTTAGGCTTCACTATCAATGCCATTCATGTTTGCTTCTGACCCAGACTTTCATGGATGTTTAATATCTGAAGGAATTTTCTATCTCTAATAGGTTGAACTATATTTCTGTCAATTAGCCTTTAATTTTTCAGCTCTTCTTAGCTGATACTATCTGAAAAATAGAATTGTCTTGGTCTGACTGGATATTGAAGTTCTGTAGTGCTGCAGACTTCCTATGCACAAAAATAAAAAGGAGGAGCATATGGCCATAAACTTCAGTGATCTAGATTTAGAAAAAACACAAAAACTAAAACAAAGGCTTAATGAAAAGGGGTGAAAGAAGGAAGAAGGGGAGTGAAGTCCTGGCTAATGCAGGAAAGATGGTCCTGGTATATATTGGTGATGTCTAACTTCTGAATAAAAATCACTTGAGTTTTCAGTAAGCAATCTTCTCAGTATGAATCAATGGGGGATAAACAAATACAATCGTTAAATAACAGAAAGTACCATATCTGTGTCAGAAGCAAGGTTTAAACTGCATTCAGTGGTGAAATCAGGATTTCCCTAAAATCTCTGTGCTACAGCACTAAGATTACTGTATTGCTGTAAGTCCCAAACCATTTGCTTTCTAGTAAACTTCCAATGGAATATATCAATAATATCTATTATATAGATAATAGCAAATGCAACTACAGATACTTATAAGAGTGATTAGCAAACATAATGTCTATTTTCCTAAAGCCAGGATATCACCAGGGCAGCTACATGCTTATTTTCTTGAGCACAACATTTAAGAACAATTTTTAAAAAACCTATTTGAATGAGAAAACATTAGATACAGGTTGCTGCCTCTAATGTAGGTTTCACTAAACAAAGATTATGTCTGAATAAATTAATACCTGTTTTACAAAGTTTAGCTGACATTTAAGGCAAAAGTGATGCAATTTATTTGTCTAGATTTTAACAGAGTATTTCATGTGATGTCCTTTGTTGAATTTTAAGAATTGGAAGAAGACAGGAACTGGGAGAAGATGTGACCTATCAGAAAAAGTGCTAGGTGGACAAGGAGATGGTTAAGCTACATCACTTTAGTGGAGAAGGAATTACAGCATGTAACTGGCGTTATGCATAGTATTCTGCAGGCATCGGTCATGGGACTGATCCTGACTGATTGATTACTTGGGTCAGGAATCTGGTTCAAGAGCTGGGCCTATACTGATGTTATCTGAAGGTGTTCTAAACTGAGTGGTTCTCATCCTGAGGCGAATCAAGTGGTCATACAGGAAGGAGGAGAAGAGTTTGTCTGTTGGAGTGATAGAACACAACCAAATTTTAATCCCAAAAATCCCAAATCCAAAAAAATCATGTATTTACAGCTGGAAAGGTTTTTTGCTTTGTG